ATCTCAGATGGGGCAGTCAGGAGACAATTGTTACTTCCAGCTTGGTTCCTGAATGTACTTTTTTGTCACTCATTATGATAACTAGGACTTTGAGCATTGCTCTCTTTCTGCCTCATTTTAGGGCACTGCACTCTGAGGGGGGAGCAGAAGCAGCACACCCTTACACTTCCCCTTTATGTTGTCTGTACGCCCAATCAGATGGACTGCATATTCAGCTCCTCTTAACTAGCCACAAACTGGCTTCAGACAAAAACTTAGCAGTAGGAGTGGCATGGAAAACTCTTTCTGAAAAGTCTCATAAAAGGAAAATAATTGTGTGCACACCCACCCCAGTCTTTGGTGATACAAATGCAGAGTCTGAGAAATGATTGAACATCATGGATAATTATAAAATGGAATCAGCATTTACTTGTTCTTCATGACCTAACTTATCTTGCAGTCTCTGCTGTAATTTATAGGTCACCCGAACCATAAACAAAATCATAAAACCAACTATTTTTTTTTGCTTTTTCAGTTAATAGGAGACTCGCAGCAATGCTGTGGAAGCAAGAATGAGCCTGAAGGTAAAACAAAGATAAGCCATCTCAATCAACAAGATCAAGATACATGTGGACAGTTACTAAGACATGTTGCATCTCTGCTGATATAAATATACTCATATTGACAAGATGTGCTCTCAGCTTCACTGGGGCCCCTTGCACCCTACAATCTGCCTACCATCAACCCCAAAGGCTTTGTCCCAGCACATGCCATGCCCACGGTTCATTTGCTCTAAGCACCAGGCACTCAAGGAGAGCTGGCCCAAATTATGGTAACTACAGATAGTATTAAAACCACTTTTGAAAACATACATGAAATAAAACTAAACTCCCTCAATTTCAACAAGAAACTGGAAAAGCTATTCTCTAACACATCCTAATTGTCTTCAATATTCAGGAATATAACATATGGAAAATTAACTAACACTGTTAGTTCTTGTAAACTTTTTATATTACTATTTCTTTTCATCACCTGCAAAATGAAGCAGAAGTAACTGGAAAAACAGTGAATTACATTTTCTTACTGTAGTCACTGTACTTTTAGAGACATCAGCTTCATTAAAATAATGGGTGAGTAGCACAGTAAATAAAGCCAAATATAAATAAAGCACAGGCCTCTTCCTCAGTGAAAGTTGTATAAAAAGCCAGAGTCTTGTTTTCCAGAGGCTGCCCACTAAAACTTAATTACACACTCAAATTATATCTTAAGAGCTGCCTCTAACATGAGTTCCATGTGCAAAGAAAACCTCAGAGCAACTTTGCACTGAGCATGATGGTACTTTTAATGAGCACTGCCTGCCCCTTTGGGGAAAATAGAGAATAAAGCTTGAATTAACAAAATTCATCGATTTCTAGCACAGCTGCACCACACCATGAACAGAGGCACCACTCAGCCTGGACTTACAGATGTAGGGCTCTTCTCAGCTGCATTAACCCAAGGGCAGCTGGGAAAGCACACAGAGGGGCTTCTTGCAGAGCAGCAGCAGCAGTCACCCCATGGGGTATGTCCCATCCTTGCTGATCCCCTCAGAGTCCCAACAGTGCAATACAAGAGCAGAGACAGCCACTCTCACACTATTCCACAACACGACTGCTCTCAGGTTGTGGCTCAGTGATGTACCTAGGCCAATATAAGGGTCTGCTAACAGAGAAAAAGGGCCTTTTCTGCATCCACTCATGCCTTCTTCCTCTAGTCCCAAACCAAGCAGAAAATTAACTCTGCAAAACAGAAGCAGGTACTTTGAAACAAGTTAACTGGATTGGCTTTGTGAAGCATCCAGACACCAGAACCAGCTCTGGGAAGTAAGCAGAACTGGGCTGAAGAGCAGGGTTAACACACAAGAAATGGGAGAAGAGGCAGGAAGCTGGACCATCTCTTAGGAGCACCAAGGCACTAGGTATCTCTCAGCTGTATGGTTGACTCACAGCCTCATTCAAACAAGGCTGGCACAACATGAGTAACTCAGAGGTGGGTAACATAAGGCCACAGTGATGCATTTTTACAAAATATGTTGCCTTCTTAAATAGAACCATCACAGAAGTTTCTGCCTCTCCCTGAAATTTCTGGCTCCTCATTCTTCCTCTAATACCTGCCTGACCCCTTTATACCTGCCCTTTATAATGCTAATATAATTGTTTGGGTAGGTTCACCTCCTGACACTGAAATGATCATAGGCAAGTCAAGTACTGGTGCCGGGCAAAGGAGAGGGAACACTTTTTTGTTCTGAAGCATTTTGGTGACCTGGTCAGCTGCACAGCACACAAGGCCAAACTGCTGAGGGGGCACAGCCCAGGGTGGGAGCTAACAGCGAGGAGGCCTTCAGCTTGATTTATCTGTTCACCAAGCATCTTGCAGGACCTTTTATTAATGGTACTGCAGAGGGTCCAAATGCAAACAGCAACAGAGAACATAAGAAGACAACTGACCGACTCCAGTTGCTTTTCCTTGACAGCCTAGGGCACCAAATCTTTTTTAAAAATAACAACGAACAACCAAACCAACCAAACAAACAAAACCCCCAAAACAAAACAGTTTTCTCGTTGCTTCTGAGGAAGTAGTTTGTCTGCTGGCTTAGTGTGCTGAAATAGCAATGACTGACAGACCCTGAAGTGGGGGGACAGGTTCAACAGCTTCAAGTCAGACTAGAAAGGGAAGCAGAAGCACCATGGCAGGCTTAGGCTGCTGAGCCTGTTTATGTTTGCTCCTTTCATTAAATCCCATGTTCCGTTAAATATGCACTCATCAGTCAGTGATGCACAGTATAAAAGCAGAAAGGAATATACAGCATAGCATAGTGCAGATGCCCTTGCTTTATAACTCCCTTTGCAAAACCAGACTTGGAAAAACCTGACCTGCATACACCCTCAGAAGCTGCAGAACATCTAGGCTGCTGAACACGAAAAAGTCTGCAGTGAATAGTGAGACAACATGTGAAGCTGCTGGAAATTCTCACAGTCTGAGTCTCTGTTCAGCACCCAAAATAGAGAGCATTTCTTTCCACAGGCACTGATAAATAGATTAAACAGGTAGATAGATCAATGCATATTTGGTGACACATTACATCAGCCAAAAAGAAAAAAATTAAATTCCTCCAAATGCAAGCCACTTCAAAAATAAAATTAAAAGCAAGGCAATCTATTCTGCTCATATGTCCAGTTTACAAGCCTGGTGTGTGGCTTGAAAACGTATACCTTCAGCCAGGAAATATTACTAGGGTGTAATTTGCTGAGCAGTTCTTTCAACAGTGGTGCTGGCTTAAGTAGTTTCCCTCCCAAATAGTTATTTTCAATCCAGATCAGTCTGCTACAGCTTGGCCCATCCCACAGCTACAAAACAGTAGTACAAACACATCTGAAGGGTGAGTAGAGCATTTACTTTAGCCTCGGTGCAGCTAAAAAAATGCTTGTAAAATATGTGAATGTCTGTTTCATTAGAAAATAAAGTGCTTTAGTTTAATACATTCCACAGTGTAATAAGTTAAATCATTTCAACTAAATAAAGTCATGATAAAATAAACCATGGAGGCAGTGACTTTTAATTTGCGTATATTCCAATCTTCATAGGCACATGTGAGCCTGTCCATTCATTTTTTAAGTAGTACAATAACTGTATACATATGTTTACATCAACTTAAACTTATCTTTGCTTTTAATTTGGTCCCTAAACAACAAATATTATGTGAATATAAGACAGGTTGACAAATCTGAGAACCAGAAGCATTTTTTTTTAAAGTGGCATAACATGTGACATGTGCCACAGACCACATCGCTGCAAAAAAATAAAGACCATAACCCCAAAATGCTCTAGATGAAACTATGAGCTATTGGAAATCTAGTATATAGCTGTAGTTAGGCAATAAGGACTTGGAGTCCAATAAACCATTGACCACATAAGAGGTAGGGATCGGTGAGAGCATTGCTCAATCTAAGGACTAATGGATTCTAAAAAGTAGTTAATTTTTCTGTGGAAAATCCCCAGTATATTTTGTACAAGACCTTCACAGACCATTTGTGTTCCATTTCAAAGACCACTTGCTAGTTTTACTTTACCCCCTAACACTATTTACTTCTGCAAATCAAAGGGAATGTGTGTACATTTGTGAGGGGATTTGGACTGATTTTCAGTCTGGCCCACAAGACTGAACACCACCAATGAATAAGAGAGCTACTTTCAGAGCATTTTCTTTCTCTTAGGAAAAGGTGTGGGTATTGTTGACTTGACTACTGTAGTAGAGGCTGACACTGCAAAGCACTAAAACTCTTACTTGAAAGCAAAAGCCTACTGGAAACACAATCTGTTAGAACATAATTTAATAGTGCAACAGTACAGTGGATACTTTTCTGTTGCACCCTCCATATTAGGCCCATGGACACTTACTCAGGAACATGGTTCTGAATTACATCAACAGTGAAATTTGGTAAGGTGTTCTAGTAAAGAGTAAGTGTATTTTCAGAGGTAAACTTTCAATTTCATAACAAAAAAAACCACTGCCATTTGAAAAAAACCAACCAGAATTAAAACAATAAAAAATGGAAATAAGCAAAGCACTTTTTATGAGTGGATTTTACTCCACATGTTCTCATTAAGGTGAAATTTAAAACACAGTTTTCAGATAACATCACTTAAATATCAAAATTTAAATATATTATGAAGGATTTATCAAAATACCAACAGGTAGAGAAGAAAGTAGGACCAGTCCCCCAAAACCTTACACCCCAGAGGGTACTTGTAACTTTCTACTTTGCTCACCCCCAGTCCCCACCAGCCTATTGTTAGAATAAATTAAACAAATATTCTCATTTTAATTAATATACTACCCTAGCAGCCCGGAACTCTTCAGATATTTTATTTTATTTTATACAGTCTTTGAAATTATACACAAAAATACTTTGGGCACTCAGAAAGTGAGCAAGAAATCACCCCATATGGAAGGAACATCAGAGTTTAAGCAGAATACTTACTCTGTGCCACTTTCAACCATTTGCGTTAGGAGGGAAATGCCATCTAGGTTTATAAATTCTTGGGCAAATGTAACATCCCGTGAGTAGTTGGCTAAGTCTTTCAGTGCTTCTAACTTTGCATCCATACTAGAAGACTGGATCCTCTCATGGAGCTGCTGTGCATTTTGAGCCTAAGAGAGATGCAAATCACACAAAACAAAAACAACAAAAAAGTTTTTGTTACAATGAAAATCATTAATAAAACATTAGTGTAAGCAAGAACAATGGCCATATTTAATATTAGTGATACTTAGCACTTCCATGCTCAGAAATTGTGAAGTAGCTCAAACACAAATTACTTTTATAAAAGTATGTTACTTGTGTATTACTGCATTATTACCCAGAATTATTTGGATTCTTGCAGAATCATTAACTGAGCAACAGATAGATATCTCACTGTCTCAGGCAAAATGTAAGCATTATAAAAGACAGCCTTTGGCTGGAAGAGCTTATGTGTTACATCAATAAAGTAGAAATGAAAATAAAACAAATTGCATCAGACAATCCCAGTATAATAACAGCAGCACTTTTTTTTCCTGTCAACGCTTACTCAGTTCACACACTTCTTATGACCTTTAACAATGAAGACCATATACTGTCCTAATCAGGATATATCAATACAGACCAGCTTCAGGCCTTCTGCTCCTTCCTCCCCCTCTTCCTTTTATTCACAGACAGTTCAAAACCTCATATACTCTTTTAACAAGGAGCATAGGAGTAATTACTTCCCACATAATACTATGATATTATCTGTCATACATCTTTATGCAAGTTCAATATCCAAATATGCTAGGCTATGCTGTCCATTAATGTTTCAAATAGAGGATGAGACAATGAAATATAAAATGAACACTGACGATAAAAAGCTAAAGAAATATTTAAATAATGCATATGAAATTGTCTCTCTCTTTAGCCATACACATACTTTAAAATACATCTCACGTTTCCAATTTGATGCTTTCACTTACCTGAATAGAATACCCAAAAGCTTCAGTTAATAGCTAGCTAGAAGATACTTTCCTTAGAAAAATAATCTTCTCTGTATACAGAAATATGCACAAAATTCTATTTCCTAAAATTCATTTCTTACCTGCCACCAAATGAAAGGTTAATGAGCGGCTATGTGTCATTAGGAAAACAAATTAAATGTAAATTCTGCTGAGTTATTTTCTCTGAGATGATGCTTATTCTTTCTCAGCTGGAGAAGAAATATAGAAGAAAAGGTTGTGCTGACAGACAATTCCTTTTCTGTTCAAGTAATGAATATACTCTTCACAGAGATGGTCATCTCTGCAGATCAAGATTCTGAGATAGCAGTCATTTTTAGTGCAAGTGAATAAAAAATCAAGGAACCCAGGAAAAACACAGCTACAGATTCCTAACTACATAAATTTGATTGATTAAAAAACATGAACAAATTTAATGTTATAGCATCCTCCAAGACTAGCAAGGTTTGTTACTTATCATTTTTACAAAGGAAAAATGAATATATGGTCACCGATCAACCTTTAGCCAGAGCCTATGTGGTAAGGAGAATATACAGGGAGGAAATACCTTCCAGTTAGTATGACTATGGTTAACATCTTCAGTTAAGACAGCATTGAAAAGAAATAGAGTATCTTAGTCCTAAGATATTTTATGCCTTAAGTATAGGGTGGTGCAGCCATAGCAGCTACATTAGCTCTAGAAGTTACCTACTCTATCAATGGGTTGAGTTATAATGTGGAAACAATGGCTTATACAGTCTCTCTAACTGGCAATGTCTGCCCAAATGGTACTAAAAGAATATTCTCTCAAACTCAAGCAGGTGGTAACATAAATCATTTGCCAAAGTCCATGGAAGAAGTAAAAATAGATACCACTAACTTTCAGCTTCTAGGACGACCACAAAATATTTCCTCAAACTCTTTGCCTTCATCAGAGTGGGTGAAGAAAGCTTTGCTAAAGTACTCTTGTGTAATCAGAACAAAAATTCTCGTTATACTGTTATACATACTATTATATTATACTCATTATTATTACCTGAACCAAGAGATCAACAGTCAACTCCTACCTTAAAAAATTACCTCCTTCATGGAGCCATTTCTTACTCTAGACTCCCCACTACAACAACTCAGGAAGACTCAGGGATGCAAAGCATCAGTAAAAGATTACTGTACTCAGAATGCATGCTATGTCTGAATTCCTGCCCACTTCAGAAAAGAAATACTCTGGAAAATCTTTAATACTGCTATGGCAAATACATTCTCCTGATTTTGGAAATGGTTGCTCAAATCTAACCTTAAACTCAGTAAGATCTGTACACATGCCTTCTCCTACCTACCACAGCTCTGGGAAGTTACCACCCTCACTATCTGCCTACTGAAGGATACAGTTCTTCCAGCTTGTCATGGGAATTGAGTCCTCTGAAAGCTCCTGGACCCATTCAAATGAAACAAATAGGAAAGTTGAGCAAAACAATTGGTTCAGAGTGACTGAGCAGCCCTCCTGAGCTGCTCAAACAACAAGTCTGAATGGGCAAACCTTGGGCAGCACAGCTGTGGCCAAACAGATGTGTTCTGTAATTGCCTGTGTAGCACAGCAGGAAGCAAGAACAAACATGTAAGTTGAGCCAGGAGAACATCCTCCTCCAAACCCCTTCACATCACACCAAAAACTCACGTGTAAACAATGTCTCATCTTCATACACATTGACAACAGATTATTTATGGTCAAATTCAACTTCTCTTAAACAAGATTCCTGCCCCCAGGATAAACACCTGGGGCTAGTAAACTGCTGCTGCCACTCCAGTTAGATTTCCATTCAATACTAATCATGGGAAGAGCTAACCCTACCTCTCACCAAAACTGAGAACACCAGCACAGTGTCATACATTAACAGCTCACCTACACTGCACAACAGCAGCGTGAGTGGGACCAACCTATCAACAGAGGCACATAATCCTCTTTCCTCCCAAGTCAGTGAGAGCTTTGAAATTCACCACACTAAAACCAAAATATTATCTTAGATCATAGACAGCTTTGTACCCCCTACAGAGCACAGAAATCCATGCTACAAAAATGGTTTAACTCCATTTTAAGCATGTAAAAGAGTGCTTACTAACACAATAGGCTTTACCTGCCTATGTAATGTTCCGTCAGCAGAGTTTACACATGGCTGCAGTTTTCTTACATTAAACAAGTTTTGCAAGACACAGCATCCAATAAACCTTGCTCCTTCTACTATTACAAGAGAAAAGAATAGACAATGCTAGAGAAGATCTTGATTAAATGGGTAAACAAATATTTGTCTCAGCAAGAGTGCTGGTACATGTCTCACTGGCAACACAGACAAAAGCCATGTTGGCTATTGTCATCCCAAATGCCTGATGGGTGAAAATATTGCTCCAGTGAATACCATGCAGTTCTCAGAAGCCTCCTAGTTCTTGTTGCCATAGCACTCATATGTGCTTATGGAATGTACAGCTCACTTATGACTGCATTAAAAAATGAAACCCAGAAGAAATATGCTCCGAGTGCTTACCAGGGAGCTATTTTAATGATTTACAAGCCATCAGTGGATGGACAGAGAGAACAGCTCATTAAAGCAATAGCAGAGCTGGCTGCCATGTCTGTACTCTTACCGAAATATCATTCAGGTAAGAATAAATATATATATAAAAAGCTTCACAACTGAGAACCATTAGAGGGAATTAACAGAAACGGCTGCTCAAGTAAACGAAAAGCAGAATTAACTGCTCTTCTGTTTAGAAAGGAAGGAAGAAAGAAAGCTTGTAAAATGTGTGCTATTGAAGCCCTAGCATTTCAAAAGGCTGTCAAGTGGCATAAGCTGCATGTCTAGTCTTAAAACGACTTGCTCCAAGGACATCCAGAAAGGTTGGCCCTTAGGGAGTAGCAGTGCTTAAAAGGAGCAGCTTGATGAGATTGTCAGCTTAAAGAGAAAACTAATGACCTCAATCCAAGATGTAACTTACTTAGAGACTCAAATAGCCATTTGGAGGTTAGGAATCCCAAGATCATCCTAACAAGGGATTCTACTGATCAAATTATCATTTCTCTGCCACTGAATACTTTGTGCAAACTTTGAAAGCAACTTATTTAACCAGATGTATGCAGGGTTTCTGTACGGAATACAAAATAAAGCAAGGACAAGAGCAAGGACACAGATCCAAATGTAACTGCTATGAAATATGAATGTGCTATAGAAGACATTTGGACCATTGATTTAAATTGCTGTTTTGCATTATGTAATCAGTTGTCTTCTTTATCCTTTGCAAAAAGCAAATAGAATATTATGGACTTCCTTGTAGATAAGTTAGTCACATTAATCAACATTCTACAAGAAAAAGGGCATACAGACCATCAATAACTACCAAATACAGTTCTGTACTAACTAAACAGGTGCATTTCTGTGGTTTAATTTAAATTACTCAGTGTTGAAGCACCATGGTGGTTTAAACTGCTGCCTGTTCCTGGATCGTTACTGCCACTTCATCTACAACTGCATGTATGTGAGAGAGCAATGGAGGACTGGATACATTACATAGTCATCATTGTATGCATACCAGATTCAACAGACCCATCACGGCCAACTAGTGTCTGATGCCAGGTAAGCAATGAGATTCCATTTTAATTAGTAAATACACTAATTGTTAGCAGCTTTTTACATGAATATTGGATCACAATTTCTAACTCTAAAGCCCTGTACAGATGTAATACCTAGAGCTGTTCTATGGAATCACTATATGCAGTTAAGGACACAGAAACAGGAAAATGGTGATGTCATGTACTAAATCAGTGACGAAAACATTACAAATGCATAGCCATGAGTATTATGCTAAAATGCCTAAAACAAGTTTATGTAATCAATAGCCACTTCTCAATGACTTTTAAGTATCTTTTCCTCTTGCTGCATTCAAAACAATCCTTTCTACTTACTATTCAAAATATGCCTTTGGAAGCCTGAAAACATGAGATTAAACCTTTATCTATAAAAAGACAAAACCCAAGCCGCTTCTCAAATCTTGGTCAGTCCCTCCAGAGTAATTTTCCTAGTATTTCAGAATCCTTTTAAAATGATCAGTTATTTGAAAAAACTTGCAGGATTTGATTTAAGGAATCCTGCAGTTGCACACACGTAAAAGGTTGGACTCTGCTTGCTGCATTGCAGGACACAAGTGTCCTTTCAGATCAGTGTCACAATTGGGAGTAATTATAGCACATTTATACACCTACCCACCATTCACTGGAGTATGGGTATCACAAAATAGACAATAGCAACCTGGTATTTCAACTGTCATGTATGTTCAAATACAAAGAAATGTTGCAAAAAAAACTTTAGATGAGTCCCTTCAGAAATGCAAATGGACAAAGGAGGAAAACAGGTCACAGAAAACTGCAAGAACACACAATAGCCCAAAGAATTGGTAAGAAAGATGATAGGAGAGGTTAAAATAAATAAGAAATATGATATAGGAACAAAGATAATATGAGAGAAATTCAATCTGTACTCAAGTTACCTAGGAAACAGAGTGTCTGTGTGGTGAGCGGTTTATAGAGGAAAAAAAATAACATTGTTTAGAAAAAAACAGCCTTTCAGAGAATTGCACAAACTTAGCAAACAGACCTAAGGAAACAAAGAGGCAGTTCAAATTCCCAACAGGCCTAAGGACTGGCGTTTGCAAACTTTTAGCTCAAAGAAATTGAGAATAGGCACATTGTAAATCTCTCAAGGCAAGCATTTATAATGGATTTAGCAGCACAACATAATAGCAGTTTTGCCCTTGCGATATTAGCAATGGTTTTCAGAAAAAGGTCCCTGTATATGCACACAAAATAATCTAAATTTGAGATTTAAAAAGAGAAAGTATTTAACATTTAGATTCAGAGAGTTAGATTTCAAATCCTAATTTCAAAAAAGTCAACCCAAAAAATGCAGGTTTAATACTTCTAGATAAAACTACCTTTCCTCACTCCTTTTAAGCTTTAATAGTACCTACTCTGGGTACACAAGCCATACATAATTAGAGATTGATGACAACAGAACCCAAAAAATTTTATCTCATCCTTCTCACCCAATTTTCTATGACTCAGGCCACTCAACTGTGAATGGCTACAGACAGACTCCTGGCTGTCATAGTAATACGTTGCATAAAAATTAAGAACTAGAAAAGCATTTTAAGTCCCTGCAGTCTTCAGAACTGGTCAACATAACTCCTCAAGAAAAAAAAAAAGTTTTCTCAAAAGGCTTGTGAAGTTCAGAACAGATTTTTTTCCCCCCTACACAACAGCCAAGAAGTAGGCAGCTCAGGCCTCTCTGAAACTACATGGACACATCCCAGACACTGCATAATCCATATGTGGCTTCTCTTAACCTGTCTCAATTTTCCTCTCCATTACTAATTCCTCAGCCTTTTCAGAAAGCATTTTTTGGAATTATTTTATTTTTCTGGAGGGAAGTGGAAAGGCAGTTTCAGCTTTACACTAAAGCAGGGTAGGAAGAAAAAAAGGAGGGGGGAGAAATTCAGAATCTTAATATTTTTCACAGGATAAGAAAAACATTTCCCACCCAGCTCTAACAGCTAGGAAAGCATCTTTCCCATTTTGCAGGAGTGTATCAAGCAGCCTGTTCTTCACATTATCTCCTTCAACTACTGTTGCTCTCATACTGAATTTCAGAGAAAAAAAAGGAAACAGATGGCCTGTTAGCTTTGCAGAGTAAATGACAAGTATGATGTGGGTCAGCAGTTTAAAAACCCACAGTTTGAAAGCCTTTAATCAATCTATTTTAGGCACTGCTATGATGACCACTTTGACAGGACCTTAAAAGCAAAGACACTACTGTAGGGTGGGAACATGCAGAACTTAGCTTTATATCTATTTAAAGAATACAAATGCTCTCTAATCTGGCAAAATCAATCTATTCCTTGAAAACCTCCTTCCAAGCTACCTCTCTGATTATGGGAAAAAGTTAACAAAAACTTTGAAAAAAAAAATCCAAAAGTTTGAAAATAAGCACTGGTTCAGGGATAAATATCAATAGTAAAGGCTAGAGAGTAGACCAGACTTCTATCTTATAACAGGGTGGCTGAGTCACTTAGAAGTGCAGGCCAGTGCCAGAGTGGTCTGCAGCTTGGTTAGTAACAGGTTATACCTCAATATCCTAAGGACCCCTCTCCTGACTGACTGACCCTAAGGCAAATCACACACAAAAACGAGCAAATCACAGTCCTATGCAAAGCCTCACCTTCCCCCATAGGTATTAACAGAAAGTCCTATACATCCAAGATTTCTCTTTTGCATTTGTAGGTCACATTTCCAACTGCATAAGTGATCATGAAGACAGACAACCATTGCCACAGATCAGTCACAGCACAGCCTCTCTTCAGTTTTGCATGGTGCAACTGGTTGTGGATTTTGAGACAGGGAGGATTCCATGAGTCATCTCATGCAGTTACTCCATGCTGTGGTTACACAAAAGAATGATGCAGTGTGTTTGGACCATACTGATTCTGATGAACCACAGATATTGTTTTGGTTCCATGAGATCCCAAGTCTGAAGCGGATATTTGTTCTTAACAAGTCCCAAAGGTTGGGAAGAGCTGGTGGAGGTGCTGTCTGTTTCTGAGGAAGTTCCACCAAATGGGGTTTACTGCACCAGCAAGTGGTTTCCCCATGTACAAGGCTGTTCTGGTGACGCATGCCAAGAGACTCTGGAGACACACAGACCCTGACAGAGCTATGGTCTTAAACTGACGTTTATTTTTATGACTGTAAAGCTCTGTATATAACCACTGAAAAAGATGATAAAGAATAATGGAAATCTCTTGTGTTTGCCCAGTTGGCTGCTGAGAAGCTCTTTGTATTAAGAAGCTACTGGGTGGCAGAGTTTGTTCATAAGACTGCTTTGAATCTGCAGAAGCTAGAACACCACCATGAAGAGGTAAACTATTTTAATGGCACACTACATTTGTCAGGAAAGAAATTGGATTGCTTCTGCCTTAGACATACATCTTCTGGGACTAATAGTGGCTTTCAGCATGTGGCAACAGTACTGCTCTACTCAGCAGGAAAAAAGAGCAACACTGCCGTGCTTTTTCAGGAGCTGGCAAGGAGATGATGTTGGGAAGAAAAAAAACCGGTAAATTCTGAACATTACAGTTGCTACTCACTCAGCACAAACCCAAAGAGCAGGAAAGCTCTGACCTGAGCTGCCCAGCAGAGCTCTCCATGATTCAGATCCCTGCCCTTCCTTCTGGCTTTGAGCTCTGGGGCAGAAAAGGAGCAAATTGAGTGAGGCTGCAATGTCAGCAGGGAAGCAGAGAAATCTTGGACATGAAAGCTTTTCTTAGCAGGAGAGAAGTGGGACACAAAAAACCACACCCAGTTGTGCCAACCTTATCAGCAAATGTCGCTCAGAAATAATCACTCCTGCCTCCATACTCAAAACCTTTGCAGGAGCATTGTTGGGTATATTGTGGATAAAGCTTAAAAATACATACAGTAGTTCACAATTATTTACTAATCAAATCTTCATTTTGAAGGGAGAGAAAAACAGAACAGTAACTCACCGGAGATGTTGTTAATCGAAGGATGGCTCCATTTTTTATTTCATTACGATTCTGAAAGAGGAAAATCCAAAAGGTTTTCTTTAAGACTCACATAAAAAGATGCAACATGCATTCGCTGAATGCCATAGTACAACGTCATACTAAACCAACAACAGTAGTTTTCTCTGTCTGCATGTCAAAGCTTCCCTCTTTACCTTCAACAAAGAGGTGGCTGTTCACATGATACTTAACAAATCTGAACCCTTTCAAGAATGACTTCATGTTTTTCAAAGTTTAGCTTCCACTGGCAACTTTTAAATATTTCTTTGAAATATACTGTCCATGGTGTCTGGCTCTGGTGTTGTACATACTTGAAGAGTTCCAAGTTTGCTGAAACCTGTCATTAAACATCTGCAGGATTTAGAATTCATCCCACTGGCTCTCCATTTTCTATAACAAGAACATGCTGACTTAAACCACTGGAACCTACCCACTAAGTTCTGCCACCACGACTTTGCATTCTCTCTCAAAGTAAAAAAAGCACTGCTGTTAGCAGTAACTAAAGTTCAAACATGCCATAAGTCCTTCAAGGAGAAGTACCGGCAGAATGAGGGGGTATTAGACACTTTTCTTTTGGTTAAGTTCACATAATGTGTTCAAATAAACTGAAGTTATGGGTAGATGAAAAGCTGCTATGGTATAAGCTATGGTGTACACTTAGAGAATCCTTACACCTTTGTGGCCAATGCCCATGGGCATGGTCTTTCCCTGTGGTAAACACAGGGGAGCCTGCCACCCTTTCAACAACATACCTCCTGTTTACCACAGGTTAGGAGAATAAGGTACCTAGTGCAATCAACATACTAAAAGGTACTAATTGGGCACAATGCAATGCATGGGCACAATGTTGGCGATGGTTCAGTAGCTTGTCATGAGCTGATACCCCAATTTGTCAAAGGAATTGGAGGAATCCCTAACAGTTTGAGAGACAAGAGCTATTTTTGTGTTGAAGACCACATTGTAGGCTTTCTGCAGGCTGGTGTTCAGCCAAAAATAAAAAAAAAAAGGTGTATTTCTCCTCAGGCAGATTTTCCCAAATTTATTTCATCCTCCTTCCCATTCTGATACATCTCAAATCCAAAATGCTTAAAACCAGATAAATCTTGCCTGAAACCAGGTCAAGTAGTCCCAAAATAAAACTTCAGTACATTGTCTCTTTCTTGGTATCCAAGTTGTCTGTGGGATTGGTTCTAGCTACCTCCAAGATCACTCTCCACCCACAAAGACTTCTTCAGTCTAACTGAAATAATTGAAGTGCCAGACAACACAGGGGGTACAAGGGAAAAGATTTCTTATAGCATCTTTGCCTACATGTGCAGCTAACTCATCTCAGCCCTCAGCAGTCTCCTCCTGCCAGAACAGCTCCAGCGAGGCCAGCCAGGCTATATTCAAGAGAGGAGCAAAGAAAGGTGAGCAGCTAAATACAGGGTGACTTCCCACAGCACTAACAAAGTGCCAGATTTTCTTTCTTGTAGTAAAACAGCACCAGAACCAGCTACATTTCATCATGTCTAAGGAATCTGTATGAAGTGGCAACAGCACATTTGTGTGGTTTAACTTCGGTGTTGAAGCAAACTCACTTCACAAACAGTTGTGGTGGGTTAAACAGTTACCACCTCCTGGACTTGTGGAACTGAATAAAAGTAATTGCTTTGGGACAGACAGTCAGCACAGGCTAAACCTACCTTCATCAACAACTTAGACTAAGCCACTGGACCTCAGTGTTAGCAGTGTTAGGCCAGAATATGTGCATGCAACACACATATACACACAGACTTCCATGAGTTTTACTTGTAATGCAGCAAACCCCAGCATGCAAAAATATGAAAGCCAGGGAATCAGGCAGCACTTGAACAACTTAAACTGTACCAATCACATTCAGAATTCAAAGTCCACTGACATCTTTATGAAAACACTGGAGTAAGTAAATATTCTTAAACATAAACAAGAGCACATGAAGTGGCTTATTCTTTTCAGCAACATAACTTCAGGCTTAAAGTTTCTCATATCCCCTGATGCAATTAACATGAACTACCAAATCAGATGTATAAATGAATTTGTGGTTTAACAACTTAAGCCACTTCAGCTGTGCCACGAAAAGCACCTCTGCAAACACTCCTCGTCCACTGCAAACAAGAGATACTGGGCATAGCATGAGGAGACTACACGGTGGTCTCCGGAGACTTGAGGAGTTTCCTGAGCAGCTGAGTACTCCTGCCTCCCACCTGCATGCTTCCTTTTCCACCTCACACCAGCTCTGGCACTGGACTGATCTGTTTGTGGGGCAGACTCACTAACCTGGCAGAAATCAGCTCCAGCAGGAAAGAGTTTTCTGTCAAGTTAATAAACAGAAACAAGCTTTGCAAGCATTCAGCACCAGTGCAAACCCGAGAAAGATTGCGGAACCACATCTTTGCAAGCAGGGAAGCGGTGGGTGGAAAGAGAACAGGGGAAGCATTAGGAGGAATTATACCTCCCCTTTTTGGGAGCAGCAAGCTGTCAGCCACAGTCCGAATTATATTATTTTGTCGTTGCTTCAGCTGAAACCATGCTCCACAATTCATTCAATTACAGTAGTTTTGCCACAGGCTGAAGCCCTGACTCAGAAAAACTTGGCTTAACCTGATATACTCTCCATAGTGCAAATCATGCAGGTCAAAAAATAAATCTCTGATTAAAGGACACTTATAGATTGAATAGACTGAATCTGCAACCAAGCTAGCAAGTGAAAAAATATCTTATTACAAAATATACTATTTCTCTACAGTCAGAAGAATTTAAAAACAAGTGAAAAAAGGAAGCTGATAACCTGGCTGAACCCCACATACCACATTTGGATAAAGAAGAGAAGTACTATTCTCCAGAGTGACCATGTGTCAGGAGGTTATACATAAAATAGCAGTGGAAAAAGAACAAACAGAGCACTTTAAAAGCACCACTGGACATTTTCTTTGGAGTCCTTCTGTTTAATCATCAAGATGAACCTGAAACACCAAAGCTCTCGCACTCAAAGGTGCAATGCTTGTCAGAGCCCACACACGAAGCCTTTCATCATGTCTGGCTCAGAGCAAGGTGTGTACATCTGCTCTATACTATAAGCTCAATCACTACACTCACAACAGATAGAGAGCTCATCTTCAACTTTGTTAGGAACTGCGATGACAGGACAAGGGATAACAGGTGCAAATTGAAGGAGGGGAAGTTTAGGTTAGATCTTAGGGAAAAGTTTCTTATCGTGAGGGTGGTGAGACACTGGAACAGGTTGCTCAGGGAAGTGGTGGCTGCCACAACTCTAGCAATGTTTAAAGCCAGGCTGGATGAAGTCTTGAGCAACCTGGTCTAGTGGGGAGGTGTCCTTGCCCGTGGCAATGGGGGCTGGGACCAGATGATTTGTAATGTCCATTCCAACCCCTAAAATTCTATGACTTTATGAACTTCTGACTTAGACAAAGGCTTTAGGAAAACTGCCCAGGCCTTCCCTCTGAAAGCATTCAAAGCATCAAGCCTCTAACACAGCAAGCTAGCCAAAACTTGAAAAGGGTTAGCTATTCCCCAATTAAAAAATAACAATTTTGTTTATCTATTCTAAATAATGGCTTAAGCACATACCAAGAAACAGCATATAAACATACAATTAAGCCAAGAGGACTTCCTGCATTAACTGTGTGATGCAGTAGTCAGCATGCCAGTTAATTTCAATTACAGCATTTACACACAGTTAATCTGTTTAGTATTAGGGACAGTGTCCTGTGGATTTCTTTTCCAGGATAACAGAATATCATTACAGCAGCCCAGCTTTGGCAACCATGCTTATAAGCATCACTGGCATTCAGGACAAGGCCCACCACCACCTACGGTGGGAAAAAGAACCCATAACAAGACAAAAACTAATTTAAAAAACCTTCTTCCAAGATATTCCTAATCTGTTTCTCAAATGTACATGAGGTTTGTAGATACTGTTCATGCTGTTGATCTGTATTACAAAAGCTTAATCCCGAGCAGTGAAGGAACTAGTGAAATGGTACTACCCAAAATGTCCCTAAAAAAACTCAAGAAGAAAAGAGATTTGTCACAAATGTTATCTAGGACTAAGACAGAAGTTAAATTATAGATACAAATAAATCCCATTTGCAATACTGTATCTAGCAAGGTATAATATATATCACAAGATGATTTTATTCTAATTGAGTAGCTAATATTTTCAAGCTGAGTTTTCAATCAGACACACAAAGAGCATAACACAGCAGGAAGTAGAGGATACCTGGACAGTCCACCTTGTGTTCACATTTTAGGACCCTCTGACTTCCAACTTCACCAGCTGAAGCAAAATTAACCTACCTGACTATAAACCCTTCAGAAGGGACAGGTAAGGAATGAGATGCAGTGGGGTAGCCCTGTATGTTAGGGAGTGTTGTGACTGTGTAGATCTTAGTGATGGGGACAATAGGATTGAGTGTTTATGGGTAAGAAGTAGGGGGAAGGTCACTAAGGCAGATGTCATGATGGGAGTCTCTTAAAGACCATCCAACCAGAAGGAAGAGGCAGACAAAATATTCTATAAGCAGCTGGGAGAAGTCTCACAATCACTAGCACTTGTTCTCACAGGAAATTTCGACTTCTCGGATGTCTGCTGAAAATACAACACAGCAGAATGTGATTGGTATAGGAGATTCCTGGAGTGTGGAAGATAACTTCCTGACACTGCTGGTGAGGGAGCCAGCTAGGGAAGGTGTCCTGCTGGACATGCTGTTTATGAACAGAAATGAACTTGCATGTGATGTGATGGTTTGAGGCTGTCTTGGGCACAGTGATCATGAAATGATAGCTTCATAAGAAGTAAGGAGGGGGGGTCAGCAAAACTGCCATCTTGGACTTCCAAAGGGCAGATTTTGGCCTGTTTAGGAGCCTTGTTGACAGAGTCCCTTGGGAGGCAGTGCTGAAGGGCAAAGGAGTTCAGGATGGATGGACATTCTGCAAGAAGGAAATTAAAAGGCACAGAAGTAGGCTATTGG